GGGCCCAGGGACCAGGGGACCCAGGGAGCAGGGAACCCAGGGACCAGGGGGCCCAGGAGCAGGGAACCCAGGGACTAGGGGACCCAGGGACGAGAGTGACCAGGGGGCCCAGTGACCAGGGGACCCAGTGAGCAGGCAGCCCAGTGACCAGGGGACCCAGTGAGCAGGCAGTCCAGTGACCAGGGGGCCCAGTGACCAGGGGTCGCAGTGACCAGGGGGCCCAGTGACCAGGGGACCCAGTGAGCAGGCAGCCCAGTGACCAGGGGACCCAGTGAGCAGGCAGTCCAGTGACCAGGGGGCCCAGTGACCAGGGGTCGCAGTGACCAGGGGGCCCAGTGACCAGGGGACCCAGTGAGCAGGCAGCCCAGTGACCAGGGGACCCAGTGAGCAGGCAGTCCAGTGACCAGGGGGCCCAGTGACCAGGGGTCGCAGTGACCAGGGGGCCCAGTGACCAGGGGACCCAGTGAGCAGGCAGCCCAGTGACCAGGGGACCCAGTGAGCAGGCAGTCCAGTGACCAGGGGGCCCAGTGACCAGGGGTCGCAGTGACCAGGGGGCCCAGTGACCAGGGGACCCAGTGAGCAGGCAGCCCAGTGACCAGGGGACCCAGTGAGCAGGCAGTCCAGTGACCAGGGGACCCAGTGACCAGGGGTCGCAGTGACCAGGGGGCCCAGTGACCAGGGGACCCAGTGAGCAGGCAGTCCAGTGACCAGGGGACCCAGTGACCAGGGGTCCAATGACCCTAGAGACTGATGATCAGGGACCCGATGACCAGGAGGCCCAAGGACCAGGAGGCCCAGTGACCAGAGCCCTGGTGATGTGGGGGGACCCAGTGACCAGCAGATCTAGTGACCGGGGCACCTGGTGACTGGGCCACCTACTGACCCTGGGCCTCGTGCCAGGAGGGGGTCCGGTGACCCTGTGGCCTAGTGACCAGGGAGCCTGTGGACCGAGCCGCCTGGTGACCGGGGACCCCGTGCCCAGGAGGTTCAGTGACCCCGGGGCCGGTACCCGGGAGGGAGGGCCAAGGTCTCCGCGGGCGACGGGGGTGGGGGGGCGGCTGGAGGCTCCGGGACAGGGCGTGAGGTCAGTGTCTCCAGGGGAGCCCTCGGGCCCAGGGCTGCAGTGACCGGGGTCTCACAGGCCATCCCGGCCTCGGGGGTCCCGGGCGGCGGGGAGGACGCAGGGGTGTGGCCCTGGCCAGCCTGGAGGTC